TCTTTGCTTTCTCAATAATTTAAAACATAATTAACAGTCTTTTGCTGTTTGTCTAATTTTCAATTTGCTATAATAGTTTATTAGGAAAACGTCATTTTAATGAATTTGTCATAAGAGTCAGGACTTATTTAAAAGGATACTACCACTTAGAATGGACATAAAATTTAAAGTCTCAAACTTTACAATGACTAAAGAATAGAATCTCTATATAAAATGATATATCCAATAAACTAAGTATTTATTGAAAAATTCAAAATTACTAAGTTAAATGAATTATTACTTTCTTTTATGGATTTATTGGATATAAGAATTTCTTATTTTTTAGTCATCCTATGAGGAAGTATACCTTTAAAGTTGCAATTTGACAACTGCATTGTAAGGTGCAGGAATATTGATACTGTAACAGATAGTGACACGCTGGCCATTGTCAATTTTCACAATAAAAATTGTTCATTTATTTATTTATTTTAATTTATTCAACTCTTGTACCTCATTTGTGATTATTTGTGATCAGTTTATTCATTTATTAATTTATTGAATTATTTGTTTTATTCATTTTGTATTTAACATTAATTTAAACTTTTTAACCCAACTACTAGTTAAGTGCAGCTTTGTGCATAACAGGTTTAAAATTATTAAAATGAAGAAGGGTCTGAGGTTGATTGTACATCATAAGTTGACTTTTATGTTTCATTTATATTCTGTGGGTTACTTCAAAATACGTCAATATGTTCAGATAAGTATAGTTGATGCAAATGAGTTCATAACCTGCAAGCCTGTCATATTAACGCATACAATAAATGTCAGTTATCATTAGTCAAAAGGTGATATACATTGAACAGATTGGTTGAATTTGTGAACATACCATTCTGAAAAATTTTGTCAGATTTTGAATTAGAGACATAACCCACTGAAAATAAAAGAAACTGTATGGTACATTGAAAATTATTTTGTTCCAAATTCCTAATATTAAAAGAGAAACCTTTTTATTTTGAAATTATCTCACTTGAACTTAAAGAGGCATTAAATATTTTGTATTGATTGGAGAGAAAAATAACGTGTATGTGTACTGTGGGTCACTATCAGACCCTAACCCAAATTATGAAGACAATCTATGATTTACGCATTTACTTACATACAATGTCATAAACGCACAACAATCTGATTTTGAAACACTGCAGTTGTAAAGTGTTAATTTTTTTCTGCTTTTTTGGTCAAATCTGCAGAAGGCTGGCCAAATTCCTCTTAAAACTTCGTCAATTAAAATGTATCGAAAGTGCAATTTTCAACATGCAAATATCTCATTTGAGAGGAATTTTATTTTAGAAACAGGGCCATGGTCATCTATATTTTTCTGGAGATATGTACAAGCATCAC